AACAACATTTCGATATACAAAGTACATAGTAAATGACATTTTTGATAAAAACGAACAGAAAGAAATAATTGCAACAGAACACAATCGGGCTCACAGAGCAGCCCAAGAAAATGTGAAGCAGATTTTACAAGACTATTTTTTTCCGAAAATGACAAAATTAACGAACGAAGTTGTTTCAAATTGTAAAATTTGTAAAACAGCTAAGTACAATCGTCACCCACAAAAACAAATACTTGGAGAAACACCCATACCTTCCTATGTGGGCGAAATACTACACATAGACATATACTCAACCAATAAAAAATACTTCCTTACGTGCATAGATAAATTTTCAAAATTTGCAATTGTTCAACCCATCGCTTCAAGGACAATAATTGACATACAATCAGCAATTTTACAACTTGTAAATTTTTACCGGCATACCAAGACGATCTATTGCGATAACGAGCCCTCCATAAAGTCCGAAACAATAAAATCTCTGCTAAACAATCAATATAACATTCAAATCGTAAATGCCCCACCACTCCATAGTACATCAAACGGACAAGTCGAGAGATTCCATAGCACCCTCGGTGACATTGCAAGATGCCTAACAGCTCAAAGAAAAATTACTGACACTGTTGAAACGATACTTCAAGCAACTATCGAATATAACAATACAATTCACTCAGTAACGGACAAACGACCAATCGATATAATCCACTCATCCTCCCCAGAACTCGAAATAGAGATAGGAAATAAAATTCAAAAGGCACAACAACTCCTAACAAATAGAGTAAACGAAACAAGACACAATAGACAATTCCAAATAGGCGACACAGTTTTGGAAAAAACAAACAGACGCTTAGGGAACAAACTGACACCACTATACAACGAAGGCAAAATTGACGCAGACTTGGGGACAACAGTCTTAATAAAAGGGAGGGTGGTCCACAAGGACAATCTAAGATAGGCAAAACATTAAATTCCCTTTTTTATCTTTTTAGGATTTGGACTATACTTCTTTTTGCTACAACGATAACAGCGAAATTGACTGACTATACTAACATGGACTACATACCGATCTTGGACGGATACGTAACCATTTGGACGGATTTCCAATACTTGAAGCACTCAACCAACCTTACCCTATACTCAGAAATAGTAAAAAATACGAAAGAATTAGCAAACCATTTCCCCCGATCACATATGAGAATGTTATTAGACGCAGACATACAACATATAGAAACATTAATAGCTACAGTAAATGTCCACCATAGACATGCTAGGAGTATCAATATGCTAGGCACCGTTCTAAAGGTCGTAGCTGGCACGCCAGACCATGATGATTTCGAGAAACTAAAATTTACACAGAATGAACTTGTAGAGTCAGAAAATAGGCAGATAACCATAAACACAAAAATGCAGGAACAAATTAATAAGCTAACTGACACCGTAAACCTCCTAGTAAAAAACACAAAAGTAAAACAAGTAGACACAGAGCATTTATATGAAACGCTGCTAACAAGAAATAGAATAATTATCTCAGAGTTAAAAACCTTAATACTATCAGTAACACTTGCAAAGGTTGGAATTGTAAACCCCTCCATTTTGGATTCCACTGATTTAAAAAACATTGTTAATGAACACTCTATAAATATCACTATTACTGACTTAATGGAAGTATCTCAAATTAAAGTTTTGTTAAGCGAAAATTTTCTACATTTCATTATAAGATATCCTAAGCCTAGCATAGTATGTAAAAAATTAACCGTATACCCTGTCCAACACAACGGCATCATAATAAATTTCGCCGAAGACTACAATTTAGCTGACTGTGGAAATCATGTAATATCAATAGGAAATTGTAGTACAGCCCTCACAATAACGTTCTGCAAGAAGTCACCCTACACAACATGCGCTCAACAGCTACACTCAGGGGACACCGCACATTGTTCAACTCGGCCCAGCCACCTCGAACCTCTAACCATAGTCGACGATGGAGTAATCATCATCAACGACGGAGCAGCTACAGTCAACGAGCAGATGGTAAAAGGGACGTTCCTCCTTACCTTTGACGACAAGATAAAGGTAAACAACACCGTATACCAAAACCAAAAAAACTACGTGAGGAAATCCCCGGGACCAGCGGTATCTGCGCTTTTAAATATAACAGACCACCAAGAGATACCAAGCCTGCCATACCTGCAGAAGATAAGCATAAAAAATCTGCGGGATATTGCTCAACTAGAGGAAGGGCTAGTAAGAAGGCCAATAGTATCTGGGCTAACCGTGGCCATCCTTTTACTCTCCTGCTACGCTTCGATGAAACTCTATCAAAGACATCAGAGGAACAAACGTCAACGTGATCTTCAAACATTAATTAACAGTTTCAAGAAAGCCGAGGACGTCATTCATCTAAGTGGGGGAGGAGTTAACACAATCGACCAGCAAAACATAAATGTTCAGATTGATCACGCGCCGTCAGCATGAATGTAGCCGTTCCCAGCGGATATTGCACAACAGCAGCAGTGGCTCCAACGCGCAACAATGTTGTTGCCCGAAGTAATGCGATGCCTCGCGTAAATATGCAATGTCAGCATAATCAGGGTTTAGGGCTAGCTTTGGATATAAGAATTTATGTCACTGTACTTTAGTTGATTTTTGATAATAAAGAACGTCGGTCGTCGCCACGGGATTATTGAAGTCTACTCATTTTGTGCAACACCGCACACTAACATCTAACACTTACAGCAAAAAAGCTTAATTTATACACCTTTCTTGTCAATTATAAATTTTTGTATGCACAAGCCGCCCCCCAATACAAAGCTACTTAAATTCATTCATTTTATCAATGTATACACGCGCGCACGCTCACAACGAAACGCACACATTTATATATACATATATATACAGACACACACACACACACTCTCATGCAGAGACGAAAAAAAAGAATCCGTATGGTTATTGCTTAAAAGTTGATGCGTGCTAAAAGTATTTTCCCAGGCCAAAATAGAGAGTGTATCTAGTTTTGGGAATTTTGCCAAAATATATGAATTTTGTAATTCAAATAGACACTCTCATCAGGCAGCGTTCTCCTTGCGTTCAGTTGCCGTTGATCGTTATAATAGCGCGATCTTTGTGTTAGCTCTTGGTCTTTTGACTAAAAAATTCAATTATTATTATATAATACGACGATTTTTGTTTTAGAATAAAATTGTAAGTTTTGTTCTTCAAACAAATTGCAATAAGTCAAATTTCAATTAGTGTTAACAAAAGAAAATAAAAAGAAAAAACCAAAATCCAAATGTATATAAAACAGTTTGAAAAGTTACCTACATACATATTGTATATTTGTTAATAACAGTACTGAAAAATGAAGAAAAAACACATTTTTGAAATTGGAAAAGACCCGCGCACATATAGTGTGCACATAAGCATAATATACCCATATACATATGTATATGTATGTTTTATATATACTTATATCTTCATTTATATGTATATATATATATATATATATACATATGTATATGAAGTTGGTGTTTTTAAAGTGTTATTGTGTAGTTATTTGATGAACAAAAATGTAATAAGAAATTACATTTCAAGTATTCCTACTCTCATAATACAAGTGCACACACACACTCGCACACATCTTATTCATATGTACTTACACACATAAGGACATACATTATACATAAATATATATATTTGTTCATATTTACATGCATATGAAAATAGTTTTATATTTTAGATACACTTACATACATATGTACGTTAAGGAAGTTACCTGTTACATATGTATGTATATGTATATATAAAGTATTCGCAAATAGACAAACATGCACAGACATAGCCTTATGCACCTGTTACTTTGACCACGGTCAAAATTTTGATATTAAAATGAAGACCAAAATAAATATAAATATATATGTATATGCATATACAAATATGTACATACATACACAGAGACATACACACACACACGCAAAGACCCTCGCCGTTCCATAAGAAAAAATTGTTAGCAAAATTTTTATACGTAGTTGCTGCTGGCGCATAAATAAATTTTTGAATTTATAAATGTAAAAAAAATTAACGTATGACTGTATTTGTGTATGTGTGTTGCGGCTGCTGTGTGTCTGATTGAAACATTTTGATTATGCAACACTTTTTTGTTATCTAAATGAGAAAAACAGAAAGACGAAAAGAACCCATTTTACAAAAATTATAAATAAAACATTTTTAAAGCTGCCGTAAGTACGTATTTACATACATACATATATACACGTACCTATATAGCAAACTGTGTACATACATATGTATGTACTGTTAGCGCGTGCACAATGTTACAAATAGCCATGTACGTATGTATGTATGTATGTATGCATGTAAGCGTGCAGCAATTTACATTTCTCTCCGTATATAAGTATATGTATGTGCTTATATACATGTACACTTAACACACATACGTATATATATACATCTAATCTAAGTATATACATATGTATATGTATGTAGGTGTGCTAGAACATCGGTAGCTAAGTGTCTATTTTTAGGTAACATCTTGTATAGCCCGAAATAAGTATATGTATTGTGTATGTCTATATATTTCGGAATGTACAACTATACGTTATTCAGGGAAATATGTTAGAAATATTTGTCGCATATTATACATATAAAAATATGTATAACTATACATGAATATATATAAATATATGCATATATAATATACTGTTTAAAAACTACAAATAATACATATAGACACGTGCAGAAGTAATCACATATATATATAAATATAAAAATAAATAGATGTCTGTATATATATATGCACGTGTACAATATATACAGACGTGCACACTTACATCCATACATAACTACACATGAATACTAAATAAATAGAGTGAATGTTTATATGAAGGACTGCCTGTTTACATCGTTTGCACATACATATTTACATATATACATATACTATGTGTAT